AGGCGCTGCGGCGGCAGCAGGCCCAACACGAGGACTTCCAGAGGGGCCTGAACCAGCAGCGAGGCTCCTACGAGCTGATCCAGGCGGAGGGCGCGTCGCTGCTGCTGTCCCTGCCCGCCGCCGGCGAGGAGCGGGCCGCGCTGCAGTCGCGGCTGTCCGCCCTGCGCCAGGACTGGGAGGAGCTGAGCCGGGCCTCCCTGGAGCGGCAGGACCGTCTGCGCGAGGGCCTGGGCCGGGCCGAGCGCTACGAGCAGCAGCGCGAGGAGCTGCGCCCGTGGGTGGCGGCGTGCGAGCAGCGGGAGAGCGAGATCCAGCCCTCCCTGGACCCCGCGGCTCTGGAGGCGGCTCTGCAGAGAGCCCGGCAGCTCAGCCTGGACGTGGAGAGGCGGCGCCCCCTGCTGGAGGCCCTGAACGCCGCGGCCGACCTGCTGCTGGAGTCCTGCCGCGCCGGGGAGGAGGAGGTCCGGGACGAGAAAGCCGGGCTGAACCGCCGGCTGGACGGGCTGGCGGAGAGGCTGCAGTCGCGCCTGGCCCAGCTGGAGGAGCTGGCGGGCCGGCTGCGCGAGTTCGAGGAGGGCCGGCAGGCCGTGGAGCGGAGGCTGGAGACCGCCAGGCACCAGCTGGAGGTGCAGGAGGCGCTTGGCCCGCAGGCCTGCAGCAGCAAGAGCCTGGAGAGGCTGCGCAGCCAGCAGGGGGCGCTGGAAGCGCTGCGGCCGCAGGTGGCGTACTTCAGGGACCTGGCGCGGGGGCTGGTGCAGGACGCGCCCGAGGCAGCAGGGGGCGACAGCGAGGGGGGCCGGCGGCTGGCTCGGCAGGCGGCGGACACGGAGCAGGAGTTCGCCGACGTCGGGCAGAAGGTGAGCCTGGCTCCGGGGTGGCGTCTGGCTCTGGGCAGGCGCGGGCGACCTCTGACCCTCTCCCCCCCCCCCGCAGGTGGAGCAGTGCTGCCAGGCCCTGGAGGCGAGGCTGCAGGGCGTGGGCGAGGCACAGGCGCGGGTGCGAGACGTCTTCTCCCGCCTGGCGGACCTGGATGACGAGCTGGATGGCATGGGCCCGGTGGGCCGCGACGCCGACTCGCTGCAGTCGCAGGCGGAGGACGCGCGCGGCTACCTG